GTGTGTGTGTGTGTGTGTGTGTGTGTGTGTGTGTGTGTGTGTGTGTTACGACGATTGATTTCTCAGAGTGAAAGTTTTCGTGAAAAAAAGATCGCGAAGCAGCGAGAAAGAAAGAAGAGGCATGGGAACACATTTGAATGTCTTGTTTTGTTTATTCAAATTACCAAAAGCCAGAGAAAAAATTACACGAATCGAAAAAAAAAACCGAAATCAATTATTCACAATTGTTAAACGCTTCAAATCAATTCAAACATTGTTTGCCCTGGTATTTTCCTCTATTACAATAGTCTACATATCATTTGCTCCACCTTTTGTGCTTCGATTGAGTGTACACATACGATTTATTTTTCTCTCTTCTTTTTCAATGTTTTGTTTGATTCACCGACATTTTTACGGAAGCGTTATGGAAATTTTGAGCTTGGATTGCAATGTCATTGCTCAACAAATAAAAAAATACATTTCGCTTGCTACGCAACTGACAAAAAACATCAGCGTATATGAAAAAAAATGAATGCGAGTCTCTTTACATGTTGTTCGGCATTTGGCAAAAGCCAAACAAGGTGTGTTATCGGTATTCGGTGTATGTGTTTATTTTTCTTCATATCGGCGACACGATTGCATTCATACATTACAAGCTCATTGTCAGCGACAAGAACGCATTCCATATCGAATTTTAATGGTTCAATTTTTGGAGATTTTATCGAATGAGCAACAACAAAAATGACATAAATTGAATATACGCTTTTTAATGCATTAAACTGCATTAAACTTGTATAGTTTGTATATGGAAAGTTAAATGAATGGAATACATTCATTGGCATAATATAGTAGTGCAGTATTTTATCATATTCCGAACTACATTCAACATGACAAGTCATCTTTCCCGCTGGAGTTCGGACACAAAAAAAATCTTGAGAGATAGATAGATAGATAGAGAGAGAGAGAGAGAGAGAGAGAGAGAGAGAGAGATGGAGAATGAGAAAAATAAAAATTGCTATAAATTAATTGACTCAAATTATATATATATTTATGTATGATTTCACCGTTACACGATATACGTTGCATATGCATTGCACACTGTGTAGTGAAATCATCATGCGATTTGTGTCAATGAATAATGTAGATAATTCTCATGGTGGTAGATGGCACATAGCAAAAATTGGTTTGATGCAAACCGAGCAATTTCATTCATGTGCCTTCAAATGTTTGCTAGTTAAATGGATAAATTGCAAAAAGATGCTATTGATTGAAGCCGAATGTTGTAGTGTGCGGGATAGAGAAAAAGATATAAATAACAATCAAATTGCCACTAAAACGAAATTCTAATCTCTGTTTCGATATAAACACACACACACATCCAGAGAGGGAGAGAGAGAGAAACACATTCGGCAAGTTTGTGTTCTCGGAGAGGCTCAATCATTTCTTTTGAATTCTTTTTCCTGCGTTTTTTCCCTCGGTTGTTGTTGTTGCGTGGTTTTATGTCGCTTTTGCCATAATTCGCCTTTTTTTCCATCGTATCGATGCAGACAATTTGTGTAGTAATTACACGCGCATCAAAACCGCATTTTAATGGCGCTAGTTATAATATTTCCGAAGAGAAAATCAAGTGTGTTCAATGTTGCGTTGAATTTCGTATTAAATGCGACTTTGATATTTGTTTATACATATATGAATGTGAATGCAGTGCATAGTGTGGAATGTTATTTAAACTCGGCTCGATGGTCGACAGTTTCATTCAGTTGTGAGGGCCGCCCGCGTACAAGTTTATTAAACGGAAGCGCGCGCCACTGCATACCGTTATAGTATTTAGTTGAAGAAGAAGAAGAAGCAGTAGCAACAACAAACATACACACATATAATTTCACTATCAATTCGCTGGGGAACCGGGTTTACGGTCACATCACATTATTTCAAAATTGCATTTCTACTAAATGGGCCACCTACAAATCATTCTCTTGACTGACTTGATGTGACTTTTCAAGTTATAAAATATCTAACTGGATTACGTCCAATTAACGGAATTATTTGCATAATATTTTGACAAGGGTTTTTGCAATTTGTATTGGAGGAGGGGGTTGCTTACATACATGATTTAAGTTTTGATTTACATATCTAATTATTTTGTTTATTTGAAATTAAAGTTTTCCCTTTGATGAATTATCTTGACGACGATTACAAAAACGATGAAAACAAAAACAGCACAACAATACTTCTTTCTCTCTATCTCTCTCTGTGCATGTGTGTAAGTGTCTGTCTGTCGTTCTCTATCCGTTACTATTTACCGCTTATATTTGTAAACATATTCTTCATTGAAACGGCAAAGAATACGACAGTTTTCAAAATATAGAAAATATTTCAAAACTTGCAAAATACATATGGCACAATGAATTGCAAACTTTAAAAGTTTACGAAAACCATTCGGCTTGTATTCTATTGAAAAACTTTTCACTATCTCACTGCATTCTTGGTATATTTATGTTGTCTGTCTATTGTTGATGAATTCACTTATTAGGTTGCGATGAAATTTTCGTTGTTGATGATTTTCTTGATGTGTGTGCAAATGACGACGACAGCAAAGTTGAAAAAGAAGAAGAAGAATGTGATGAAGCAAAAGTGGAGATAAAATAAAAACAAAGTGTATATAGGGAGAAAATAGCAATGCTTTTCAATATTCAGAACCAAACATAACGCGTAAATATATGATATACTGAAGTAGTTGGCATTATAAATATGTACGAAACTTGTTTATAAATTCCATTCTAAGATTTCCTAACGTATCACTTGTCCTCAGAAATCCCATGCTATATGTACACATGTCTGTTCGTTCACGACGACAACAACATTTTCTCTCTCTCCCTATATCTCTTCTACTTTTCATTCTTCGATTTCGTGTGTGCAAGGTGAAAGTGTTGTGAATGTTTTCGATGCACTGCCACTACGGAGTATCTGATGAACTAACGTAACTAGTAAAAAGATATCTCTGCTGCACGGTGCACGTTTTTACGATAGACAGACACACAGAGAGGGACAGAGAGAAAGAGATCGAAAGAATGAAAGTGAGAGACACACGAAAAATATTCTCGTACGGGTATTTGGCTCTTGTGTCATCTACTCTTTCAGCTTCATGTATGTTCATTGGTATGAATGTTGAAGAAAAAAAAAAACACAAAATCCTCTCATCACGAAGAATTTTCACATTCCGCCCAAGAGAACATGTCCCAAGACCATATTCTTACCATTTGAAAAGAGCGACAAAAGATCGAATACGAGCGCGCACATACCACGAATATCGATTGGCATCTTATTTGATGTATAATCGGTAAAATATCCTTAATTCAACTGTCAATTATAGACCATAATCTTTCCCGATTACCCAACTAATGTTTTCAAGCGTAAAATTCTCTTGTCACTGGTGTATGTGTATTCTTCTGGCATGAATCGAACGTATAAAACGACATGCGGTCGTTTTTTACTACGTTCTTTTTCTTTTTTTTGTTTGAATTTCAAAACACGAAATATCGATGAATTATATGCGCGTCCACATAATTTACTCTCAATTCTCAATAAGTTTCCATGTGAAAAGTGCTGTATCAATAAATTGAAGTGTTAGCATAGATCGAAAAACACGTGTATTCTAATTATTCATTCAACAGTAGATATTTCAAATATTGATATACACGGATAATAAAATAATATGATATTTTATAATGCATTTTGCATTATGTATGTTTGACACATTCAATGGGAGGGTTTCTCGCACGTTCATCGTTATTCGCATGCCATGATGAAAATGTGTATATTTGTGCGGCTTGATAAAATGGTTATATCTTATTTAACCCGGTGCCAAAAATCATCATCCATCTCTAAGCATGTACATTTCTATTTTCTCTCTCTTTCTTTCGGTCGCTTCATATGTTTGTGCTGCGCAAACCAACCGTACGGAGACCAAAACACCGTGTGTGTATGTGAGAGAAACAGAGAAACCGAAACGGAAAAAGAGCGCGTGTATAGCAGAGAGGCCAGCTCACAATTTCTATCGAATCATGCATTTCTAATGTATTAAAAATTAATCAGTGGAAATGATAACAGCTTAATGCAATCGTAAGCATACAATATATATTCAGTGAGCGAGCTTCGTCTTTACTGAATGGGTTCTTTTTATATATCATTTACCTTTTTTTCTTTCTCTCTCTCTCTGTCTCTCTCGTTTCCATTCAAGATAGAAGCACTCATTCATAGTTTATGAATCGTCGCTCTTTTTTACGGCTCCTCTCTATTTCTTTTGAATAAACTTTGACTTCTCTTTTTTTTATCTTTTTTTTGAAATTGAGTTTTTCCTTCCTTGAATTGCATTAAATCGAGTCTATTCAAACAACGTTGTGCACTTTACGGTTTCAGTGTAGCATACCTTTCCCATGTGCTGGCTCATTGTGAAACATTTTCATCCACTTCAGACGAATGAATGGTCGCGTGTGTTTGTATGTGTGTGTGTGAATGTGTAAATTGTGCGAAGTTGTAACCAATCAATGACAATTCTTGTTAATTGTCTTCAATATAATTGCAAGAGAATACTGGACAAAAAAAAATCAGTTTTAATACAGAGTAGTCACGAAATGCTCAAACCGAGTTGATTTGCTCGCGAATGGTGCTTAACGATAATAGAAATTTCGTGATTCAAAGCAACGATTTTGATTGTTGTGATTTTGAAATCTATGTTTTGATTTAAAGCCAAAGTCATTTGTGTTGTGTGCTTTTTTTTTCATTTTCTTCTTCTTTCGTTGCATGAATAGAAACGGCGATCAACAATTCAACGGAGATGTAAAATTGGTTGGGAAGCAATGTCGATACAAAAATAAGTGATAGAGATAGATTTTGGATGGACAATACTTCAGTTACGGCAGAAACGAGACAAAAGAAGTAACCACGAAACGGACAAAAATTACACATTCGAATACAAATTCATGTTACTGAACTCTGAATGGAATTGAATGCAACGGTGTAATCGAAAATTAAAAGGCAGCTCAAAATTGCTGTGCAACAACAGCAACTACAATCATTGCACTTATTCTTGAATATTTCATTTTGCTTGATAAATTGGTGAGTTGCAAAGCAGATGCTCGTTTTTTTTTCGCTCTATTGCATAAGTCATCAATTCATGCATAATTTCGTGCATTCGTTATGGTTCTGTCGGTATTGTTATGTTATTTTATCTCATTCTCTGTCTCTTTCTTTCTCTATGTTCCATTTTTCAGGCTTTAACATCGGCCAAACAGAACTAGACATGCAACATTACAAGTGAGTATCATTTTTATGGTTAAATATTTTCCTTTTTTTTCGTTTTTTTTTTGTTCTCTCCCTTTGAGTTTGGGGTTCACAGGCGATGAGTTTAATATTGACAGAATATAGGGATATTTAGTTATTTAATACGGTATGCGCAAGAATGGATATAAACTAACCGGTTTAAATTTCATCTGTATTACATTCTTTTTTCTGTTAATTTTTCATGTTGTGATTTACTCAAAGCAGAGATCACATAACACAATTTACACTCAATTAGCATACATTCTCACACCCACACACATACACATACATACCATACACATATACTTACTTTTTGGCCCTTTAACACTGTGATTAATCAATTTAATTTTCCATAAATCGCGCTCATACCTAATCATTTGTTGGCTGCCGTTTATTATGATTTGTTCCATTTTTTTTTTTGTGTTATGTTATGTTTCTGTTCAACGTAATGTAGAATCAATAGTTAATGATGAGCTAGATATGATACAAATTTGTTTTGTATTTAAAAAAAAAAACACAATTAAAATTGGTCGAATTTCAATAATCGAAATCAAATCAAAACTGAACACAATTTACAGCAATGGTCATGCAACGGAACATTCACCGAACTCCTCACATTTATCAGTGCACAGTGATGTTCCATCTGATTCGACAGCACCAAATTCGGCAGCCGTTGCTGCTGCCGCTGCACTTGTAGCACGTACACATAAACAACAGACAACCCAACAGGTCACAACCGTAACTAAGGTTGTACGCGAAGTAAAACACTTGGGCGATACAGGAGCCTGGTAAACAAAAATTAAACACGAACCAAATCCATTTTTTTTACCATGTTTTCATAGACATTTCAATTTATCATTGAGTTGCTAATCTTTTTGTTTATTTGTTTGTTACTCTCCGTTCAAAAGAAATGAATTTTATATAACATAGAATTTGATAGATTTTTCGTAAATTTTTTATCGTTTCAAAAAAAAAAAAAAAAAAACACAATACATGGCATACATTGATGCGAAATATTTTCTCTATCATTTGACGAAAACCATTTTTATTTTCGTACAAAGTACTAATCAAAAAAATGGAATCGAAATTTTGATTGATAATTTTAAAATTGGAAATTGAACTCTTTTCTATTTTAAATTAGAAATAGCTGTTGTCTGACATAGATTCAACTAATTACTTTGCGTAGTATGTCTGGAATGCGATCATTTATTTTTCCGTTGCTCATTTGAGCCTATTATGTACTATACCGGGAGTGCTTATACGAAAGTGGCCCGGTATTACTGACTTTGATTGGATTGCGTCTTTTAGTTCGAAAGAAAAAAAATTCTCCGGTCGTCTTTGGCTCTATTTTTTTTCTCCTTTTAAAAAAGTCAAAAACAATTTTACTTTTGGACTTTACATTCTTCATTTGGTATATGTGTGCACGTTCGTTCCATTTTCTTTTTGCACGACTTTGTTTTTTTTTACAGTCGATTTGTTTCACTTGAACTATTTTACTGGCTTTTCTTCCGAATTCAAAGTTATTTAGTTATTTCTTTTTCGGCAATTTTATTATTGAGAATGAAAGTAGAAACAATTTGTGACGTGGAATTTTATTGTGTTGGAGGTGCGGGGCGGAAAAGTTGCAGGTTTTATTTTTCATACATCAATGTCGATTGAACATAATTGGAAAATGCATCATTGTTTTCAACTAAAGTGACACATTTATGTCAATTTCAATAATGTATTCCCATATAAATTATTCACTTTTGAGTCAATCTTCAACATTGATAAATGAAAAATGTAATAAACGTGAACGAATCAAAATGAAAAGAAGAACTTTAAACTTTTGGTAGTAAAAATATTAAAAAAAATCAAGTTGAAAAATGAACTTGACTCAAACAAACAATTTTTCCACCCATAACACCGACATATACATTGTTTGCCATCCTTGTCGTCTTATGACACATTCTTTTTTCGAATTGGTTTTATTAGCGTGTAGAAATTTTGTTCAGAGCCGGTCATATGTCGATATTAAAATATGTTTGATTAAATGGGCATTCTTTTTTTTTATTTTTGATTCAATTTCAACAGGTCGCAGTACATTAACTACAACCATTTGGATCAACAGAATAGTCATGGGCAACCATCCCAAGCACACGATTTGTATGTACATGGGAACAATACGGCAGCAAATGCTGGTATCGCGGATCCACAATATCATACCCATTCACATATGCATCGTAAGTAGACACCATAAAACCATTTAGTTTACCTCTCTCTCTCTCTCTCCACTCATCGAACAGAAAATATCGAAAGTCGATGAAATCACCATTTTAAAGACGAGCAATTAGTTTTCACCTTGCAGCTCTTGATCGAACTTGACTCATTATGTGACACACTTGTAGATTAAAACACCGATATAGTGTTAATGAGATTAAACAAGATTAAGCACGTTCATGCAGTGTTATGTACACCCAGAACGGCAAAAGTATCGTAACGAAAGTTACAGTTCTTTTTTTCTACTTATTGTTTCAATCTACAAACTATCTATTGAAATTGCCCATTGAGCGAAGAGTGTCTATTGTCAATTTTAATTTTCCACTTTTTTGTATAAGAATTTTTTTTTGCTCTGATGTAGTTTACCTTTTATGCAAAGTGTTTTTTTTAAAGCTTTCTTGTTTCATGAAGCCAAGTTTTGTTATGTTCTTAGACATTTTAATTGGTTGAATGAATAAAGCGTTTTCATTAGAAAAAAAAACACTTTTAAAGATAGGCAGATGGATAGCAAAAAGTCAACAGTTTCTGATCAAGTTTTTGCATATTTATGGATTGTTTTGAACATTCGAACGAAAAGTCCATTTATCCATTCATTGAGTATTGATAATGCACATGAAATTTTAAAATACTCCATTTCATTTTCAAAAATCAATGTTTTTAATATATCTGAAGTCTTTAGTCAAATCCAAATCCAATCTGAATAATCAAGTGTTCAATCAAGTTTTGATTAATTAAATTATATATTCAAAAGTTCCACTTAAATTTGTAGAGTAGATTGAAATTGAGAATAATGGTTTTAAATTTGCAGCGGACGCCACAGCAACGGATTGGAATGCTGTTGCAGTAGATTATAATCATTATCCTACGACACAATATGCGAACTCTGGACCATATGGTACATCAATAGGAGCGACGTATGAATATAGTGGTGGCGTTAACGATCATCGACCAGAAAGTCCAGGCGATGACAAGGTACCAATCGAAATGTTATTTAGCCTTCAAAACGTTGTAATGTTAATTAATTTTTGTTGTTTCAGCAGCAAGCACAACACAATATTATACCAGCAGGCGTTGCATACTTACAAGCACCGTATCACGATGAATTGTCCGATTTTCGAATAACACCATCGCCCGGTGGACCAATGTTAGATCATCGATACCAAGACGATTCGGCGAACATGGTTTATGGATATGTATCATCACCGTATGGTACAACAACAAATCCAGCTGGTAAATACCAACGAATTTTATCATTTATATGTTTTAATTGAAATTTCAATGCTTGAAACAATCGAAACAAAAATCTATCGGGTCAACATTGATTTAACGCTTAGAGAAACGAAATAACAGACGACAAAACAAAAGAGAAGAGAAAATGAAATGAATTGGAAAGTTAATTGAATTTTCTATTTTAAATCAGCAGGTTATTTGGTGCATCATAGTGGATTCGCTACAAGTGGCAAATTCAGTGAAGAGGATGCCCTACAAAAGCATATGTCACACATGGGTAAGTAAAAATTGTTTTCGATAATTCGATTTTATTGGCATTTGATTTGTGTGTTGATTTTTATTTCATTTGTTGTTTGTTTGTTTGTTTTTTTGGTTGCTTCAGCAATTGTGGACAGTGATCAACAACAACAGCAACGAGGTGGAAGTGCTGCATCGGCAGCTGTGAGTGCTTCGATGCGTTGGCGTGATCCAAATTTAACGGAAGTGATCAGTTTCTTGAACAATCCAAATAACGTGATTAAAGCGAATGCAGCTGCATATTTACAACATTTATGCTATATGGATGATCCAAATAAACAGCGTACACGAACACTGGGCGGAATACCACCGTTAGTAAAATTATTGGCACACGAAGGCCCGGAAGTGTATCGCAATGCGTGCGGTGCCTTACGGAATTTATCGTACGGACGGCAAAATGATGAGAATAAACGTGCGATTAAAAATGCGGGCGGTATCGTTGCATTGATAAATTTACTGAGGCGAACGACAGAATCGGAGGTTAAGGAGCTAGTCACCGGCGTCATATGGAATATGTCATCGTGTGAGGATCTCAAGCGATCAATTATTGACGACGGTGTTAGTGTGATTGTAACATATATTCTGATTCCGCATTCCGGATGGGATGTTAATAGTCCCGGTGATCCATGCTATTCAACTGTATTTCGTAATGCATCGGGCGTTTTACGTAATGTTAGTTCGGCTGGCGAATATGCGCGTACAAAACTTAGAGATTGTCCTGGCCTTGTTGATTCTCTATTGTATGTTGTACGAGCAGCAATTGAAAAGTCAAATATTGGAAATAAAATTGTAGAAAATTGCGTATGCATTTTACGTAATCTATCATATCGATGTCAAGAAGTCGAAGATCCAAATTACGATAAACATCCATTGCCAACACAAAGTCGAACAACAAATAGTTCACAGTCATCGAGCGGCGCCTCATCGTCATCATCGTCATCGTCGAAGGGTGACAATTTGGGATGTTTCGGTGCTAGCAAAAAGAAAAAAGACGCCAACAATGAATATAAGGACAATTTGTCGGGCAGTGCAAATGCGGCGAACGGTAGTGCCGGTGGTACAACCTCTCGAAGCTCATCCCAAAGACAAGAACCGATCAAAGGCTATGAACTTCTCTGGCAACCAGAAGTCATTCAATCATATTTGGCATTATTGCAATCGTGCTCGAATCCAGAAACACTCGAAGCTGCTGCTGGAGCCATTCAAAATTTAGCAGCTTGCTATTGGCAACCGAGCATTGAAATTAGAGCTGCCGTTCGAAAAGAAAAAGGACTTCCAATTTTAGTGGTAAGATTTTCTGTGTGTGTGTTTTTTGCTTCGCTTGAGAAGCTAATTTTATTTTAATTTTTTCGCTATGTGCAATAGGAACTCTTGCGAATGGAAGTGGATCGAGTAGTTTGTGCCGTTGCGACTGCATTACGAAATTTAGCTATTGATCAGCGAAATAAAGAATTGATCGGGAAATATGCAATGCGTGATTTGGTTCAAAAGCTACCATCAGGCAATCCACAACATGACCAAGGTACATCGGATGATACAATAGCCGCTGTTTTGGCCACACTCAATGAAGTTATTAAAAAGAATGCTGAATTTTCACGATCACTGCTCGATGCTGGCGGTGTTGAACGACTTATGAATATAACGAGACAACGTCAAAAGTACACGAATCGTGTACTCAAATTCGCCGGCCAAGTTTTATTCACCATGTGGCAACATCAAGAATTGCGTGACGTTTATAAAAAACATGGATGGAAAGAGCAAGATTTTGTGACAAAAACAGTTGCCGCCAGAAATGCAGCGCCAAATTCACCAAATAATGCAAACAGCACATTGAACCGTCCGATGGCATCGCAAAGTGGTACTCGGTATGAAGATCGCACGATTAAACGGAACACTGGTGGTAGTCAACAACAACAGGTGCAAAACAATTCAATTTCGAAATAAGTAACATTTTTAATCATTGAATTGTAATTGTAATATAGATGACGGCAAGTGGCCAAGCGCAACAGCAACAAGCATCAGTGAATAATATTGGCAACTTACATTATCAGCACGTGAGTACTGTTTTTATTTGAATCAATTTTTATATTTGGCCAATTTTCCATCAAATCGCATAATAATTATCGCTTTTTCTCATCTTCAGAACGATGAGTTGGGCTTATCTTCAGATATGGCATATGCGGATGCATCAGCGCAACAGCAACAGGTTCGAGTCTATCCAAATGGTCCGAATCAACAGCAGCCACCATCCGTAAGTCATTAATCAAAATACAATTTATTGCCAAAAAAATCTCTTGCGAAACATGGGCGTAAAATACACACAAAAAAAATTCTGTTCAACTATTGATTCGATTTGAATTGTATAAGAGAATACGTCTATAATAGAGATTTCATGCGATCTATCTATTCGAAAAATAGAAAGAAAATCTAACAAAAAAAACATGATTCAAAACAACCCAGAAAACATCCCAACAACAACACTACTAAAATATAGAACGAAAAACTTTCGTTACGAGAAAAACAAATCAGCACAACCACCAAAACTAAATGTCTCTAAAGTAATTAGAAAATATGCAGATTTCTATTTCTTTCAAACGAAGTAATGATAAAAAAGGGAAATAATAAGCCGACAGTTAAAGATTCTCTATGTTATGACCTCTTCAAACATATGTTTTTTTTATATATACATATATATTTTTTGTTTTATTTTATGAATTATAAACCAATTCTTTTTCTTTTCTTTAATTTATTAATTACAAGCAAATATACATATATTTGAAGAAAGACGCATATATAGTAACTGAACGATTTGTGTGTGGCTCTTTTGCAACACAACATTCAGCATCGTGAACAATTAGCCATAAATTGGTTGAGCTATTGTTTTCCTTTTTTTGTTCGTTAAATCACCTGCTAAAAATGAAAAGTGCAACCATTTTCCATGGCCAGTTGTGAGCCATGATGCGAAGGCAAATTTATGAGAGAGGGAAAAATAAAATGAATAAAAAAGAAACAAATGTAATTAATATGATATAAATCTTTATATGTACAACAAATAAATAAATATAGACGTAAAGAAAAATCGTTCCCTTTGAAAGATTTCATATAAACATTTCGATGCAAATATCATTACAGTTCTATTGAACGTCACATCCAATCGTCCACATTCTCGTTCGAAAAATATAAAACAACGGATCATGGATATTTCGATCAGTAGAATCGATAATATTATCTGCATCAAAAACTCGTCTCCTAATTCCTGTTGAAATGAATTCGTTATAGATTAAACACAAAAAGAGTACGAAAAAAAATGAAATGATGAAAAAAAGTGAAAAAAAAAATTACGCAGCGATTAAGGATAAATAAACTAAATTTTAAGCAAAGATCAAGAGAGATGATGAATATCATTTTATCCCAGTACATTTACACACGGTTAAGAATATAAATGAATAGACAAAAAAAAGAACAATTAAAAAAAAAACAACAAAAATACGAAATATAGACAAAAAAAAATCTTCTATTCCACAAACATTTAAACAAAAAAAAATTGATTCTCAAAGTATTATATTAGCATATTGAAAGTAATTGTTTTCGAAATGAACGGAAAACAAAGGATGAGAAGAAAACATTCATTTGAAGAAAATCTTAAATACTCGAACAATGAACAAGCGTTAGGCATACAAAGCACAGAGTACTTATGCCAGCCACCCGGATAGCCACGGGCCTAAGGAAACTAATGAACAACATATACACTTAACAACAACAACAACAACAACAATGAGAATTTTTTGATGAGCATTTTTTTCTTGCGTTTTTCATTTTGTACACAGAAGAAACAAACAAAAAAAAACACAAACAAACATTAATTTTAATATATACTTCGAATCCAGAATATGATATGAATCGAAAACAAAAAACATCAACATTTATAGCAGATAATAAATGTAAACAGAGCATCAAAGACTTTTTAACATTTTAACTTAACAGATTTGTGAGTCATACATGTTTTTTGCATAATTATACTTACATAAGACTACAATTGTATTTTGAATTGTAAACGGCTGACGACCATTTGGATTCATCATAAAAATGAAATGCATACCATTAACACACCCTCACAAAACAATTTTTAGCAATATATCGATTTTCTTAGTGCAAAACACCCTCTTTTCTCCACATGTTTTTTTTTTTCTTCATCTCTTCTTTTTCACCGTTGATTATAGAGTGTATAAATAATGAAATTTTTTGTTTGTTTGTCATCACAAATTCAGATGGTTTTCATACTGTTTTTGTTTGCCTCCAGAATTTTTTTTTTAATACAGAACATACCAATTCCATCGATTGTATATTTATATTTTTGACGAACTGACGACATTGAACTTATATAGAAATATATTAATATTGTATTTAACACGTCAATGGGATCCAGATGAAACTCAATAATTAGGGATCATACACTCTTTTTTTGTGTGTCAAATCGAAAGATGCAAAGATACCAACTCATTTAGATATGAAAAAGAGGCAAAGAAATGGTTTTTTTGGAACGGCATAAGCTCGATTTTGAGCGAGACATTTGATATTTAATTTGCAACGTTGCAAATGTTTGTTCGATTGCAAAAAAAAGAAGAAAAATAAGTAAATTTCATTGCCGATAATGTTAAACTCGCACAAATTAAAAATGAAATACAATTTTCAACGAACAAGTGTACATTTCATTTTCTATCGAATTATTATTTGTTAAGAAATGAGGTGTAACATGCACTCAGACAAAAACAAACAAACAATGAGGTCATATTATTTGAAGAAAAAAAAAACCATGTACTTACTCTATAATTTTTTTTCTACACATTTTTTAAAAATCATATTTGAAAAACGAATACGCAAATGAGAATTTCATCAAGAATATTTCGGGTGGGAAAAATTCAACTTCACACATTCAACTGACACGTCAAACAAAGAATAAATAATAAGTTCGATTTGAACGATGAAAGAAAAGGGAATCGTATGTGAATTGTAATAATGATAATTTTCCAACTTCTATGCATGAAAAAGAGCGAATTTATTTCGAAATGCACACACATACACATACAGACACACAAATAAAATGACGAATCAACAAATCGAATTTATCGATTGTGGTAAAGGATACTTTTCCGACGGAAGGATGAGCTAACTGTTTCGAGCGGCTAATTAACATTACCAATTTTTTACATTCCAATTTATGTGCGAGCATTAAAACATTGCGAGAGAAAAAGAGAGAGAGAGAGAGAGAGAGAGAGAGAGAGAGAGAGAGAGAGAGAGAAAGAGAGGGAGAGATTGTGAGAGAATGAAAGTTATTGAATGTGTTTGGTGTGCAGTATTCGCATGCATTTAACGACAGTATTGCATCCATTTGGTCTTTAGTTGAGGGTAGACAAGTGAATTAGAATCACATACATAAAACAAAAATGTAAGCCAAACAATAATTGATGACAATTATAATAAAATAACAGCATAATTGACCAATTGTAAGAATAGTTAAATATGCACGCGAGACATTTATGTGAAGGGATACGAAAACGAATCACAACACACTTCTTTATGCAATTCATTCGAAAGCGAAGTGAGCGAACAGTATCGTTTAAGCAAGCAAATTCACTATCCACTAACCCAATTTGTTCATTGCTTCTTCAAACTCAATAACAAACTATTTACAACCTTTTTTTAATTCGTTTTTGTATTTGTATCGTACTGTATCGTAATATTTATAATTTCTCAACCAAAAAACAAAAAAAAAACAACATAAACAAATCGAAATCATATCAGCGTGTCTATCCGTATCGCAGCATTTAAGCCGACGAATCCGAAGCAGTTGTCACTTTCCGTGCGGCTCAATTGTGGCCCCATTTGATTGCAAGGTATAATTTCTTGAAGAAAAACAGGAATAATCGATTATGTCGTATGATTTTTCAGAGCAGTGTCAAAAATTAATTGTGTGTATGTGCTTCGATTACTCATCGAACAAAATTCGTTCATTTGCGCAAAACAAAGTAAAAAAACAAACACCAGAAACATTTTATTCCACAATTTCATTTTCTGTTTTTAACTTCTTCTTGAACAATTCGATGATAAAACAAATGTTATTCCAATATTCATTCCAATGACGTTAAACATTGTTTTTTTTTTTTAAACTTCTTTCGTTTGAAATTCTCTAAACCTCATTCCCAAATATAATAAACAAACAATGTCAATGAACGTAAACGTAGCGAGAGAATTGAAACAAGTGACATAAATGTGGTTGCAAGTATGGGCTCATCCAGAGAGATTGAGAGACGGATCGCTGGCCAGAAACGTCAAATGATATATATATATAGCTTTTGCACATTCATTTATGAATAGATTCTAGATTTTTCCCCAAAACAAAATCATGATGATGAAACATTGAAAAAAAGATGAAATTTAATAAATTGACCACTTTCCTTGATGCTTTTTATGCGAATAAAAAGTGCCCAATTCATATTTGCCATCGGGCCCTAACATTGAACAAGGAAGTAAGATTATTTGTCTTGAAGATGTAGAGAAAGAGAAAAGAGAGAGAGAGAGAGAGAGAGAGAGAGAGATATAGTGAGAGTGAAAAAAGCTAGAAAATGAAAGAGAAATTAAACTTACATACATAAAACAAATGAACAGCTAAACAACAAACAAGTCATATTTTTCTTTATTATTAATTATACACACATAAATAGAAACTATGTTATTCATTATATAAAAAGAAGAAGAAGATGAAAAAGCTGAGAGAGAAAAACGAAGAAAAAAGGCAATGATAGAAAGGGAAATGAAAGACGTACGAAAATGACAATGATATGATGATGATGATGATAATGATAAAAACAAATGAACATTAAAACGTTTTATTTAATAAAATACTGATTAATTAAATAAATAAATTATGCATACAAAAAACAATAATCCACAACTTTGTTTGATTTCCATTAATCACGCAAATAAAATCACACATATACATAACACACATGAGAGATAGAGAGAGAGAAAAAACACACACACACATTTATTTGCGATTCATCACATGGGCACTGCCTGATAAATTCAAGCAAATGGCAATTGAGCACACAATATTTGGCCTGGCCACTTCCTAATACATAATTATTTTATGCGGCCACAAATACGACCACCAAAATGATTACATTGTTTTTTCGACTGCAATCAACAATGCACGGATAGGCACCTGATTCTCTGTTCTTTACTACTACTACTACTACTTTTCACTAGACACACACACACTCGCATACATTCTTCTCTACTTTTAATGAATGTTTTATTTTCAGACACTTTTGAAATAGGTAACATTTTCTATTTCGACTTAATTTTTTTTTTTGAACGAACTTAATGATACAGAATATGTCAATTAAATTGTTCTTCAATTTTGTATTGTTCAATTTTCTGTGTTCTACGTTCGTCTCAGCATTTTGCTCGCTTTTCTATTTTCATAGTCATGTTTTTTTCTTAGTTTTTGTTTTTTGGTTGAATAACAGCACATTTTTTTGCAGCATGAATTTTTGATGGAATCAGGCGGTGAACCACTCTATGCACAAATCAACCGTGAACTGAAAACGAAACGTTTACATTCGGCAACAAATACGCTCACCAAATTGGACACCATCAACAGTAAGCAAATTTACGATCACTATGACTTGGACGTTGGCCCATCAAATATCAACTATCAAAATCATGACACTGAACACGGTGACAATCGTACCGATAGCGCAAAACTACAAAATTCAACCGGTGATTCATCGATTTATTACAAAAATCTCAACAATAACAACACAAATACCACAACAAATACGGAACAAAACCAATGGGTTTAAATAATTAAACTGTTTTCTCCCTCTATCTGTTATTGCAATTTTGAAAATTGAAAACTTCATTCGGTGTCATCTTTGATCTGAGATTACACTATTATTACATTTGACGCAGCGGTAAGAATTCAGATTTGACAAGTAAATGGAGAAAGGTGTTTTTTTTAAATTACAAATAATAAGGGGGCGCGCGAGTGAAGTTTCGATTTTTAAATGAATTTCTCTAGTTTGTTTTTTTGTATCCAAAATGTCTAGTCATTTGCATTTACGTAACAATTTAAAAGATATCCAATTGGCGCAATTTGCGACAAATGACACCACAAATCATGTTACACATCACCAGCTAAGAACATAAATTAGTTTCAAATTATTTTCAGCACTTGACAAAAAAACAAGAATTTCGATCATGATTTTTGCTATTTTTCTTTAGACCATTTTTCAACCAATTTTACTTCTTCTTCTTTTTCTTTTTCTTTTGAATGAATGAATTTGAACAATGGCAAATGTGATGAATCTATATATTCAATCGAAAAATTCCACAGAATGCATCAGAATCTTTGGTGTTATTTTTCGTAAAATAAAATAAATGTTTGGTTGATATCAAAACCACATGGTGACCAAGTCCAATGTTCCCTGTTTAATTAGGAAAAAAAACAAATATCTTGTTTCTTGTAATTGCATGACCATTTTTACCATCTATCGATTTAAATTGTCATACTCATTCCATAAATTACCACAATCGGGCAAACCGTATACCCCTTAGCTATTCGTATTGCCAAGTTAACGATATATTGAAATATCTCATTGTAATGAATATTAAATACAAAATAAAAATAAAAATTGGAAATTGTCATGATCTAAAAAAGAGAATGAAATCGAGACACAAATAGCTTGTTTACAATGACTTTTGTGATCTACGTAAACGATTTGCCATTTCAATGTGCATTTAATATAGGATATGTATGTTCCATTCTCTCTTGCGCATAGCGGCAATATAATTAGTGAGCCCATCAATAAAGCTCATCAGGCAAAATTCTGACAAAAATTATTTTTGAAAAAGAGGAACAGCTACTGGACGTAATTTTTGTATGAAATTCATATGATCTTATATGGATTTTTTCCCGTGCTTTTTTTTGTATCGTCGGATAATATGTAGACATATAAAAAAAAACAAAAATGCCATGACAACACAATGGGGAATCAAAGCATTCCATTCAAATTTAAGACTTTTTTTGCTAACAATATATTCCAATTTAAAGTAGTTAGAACTACATATGTAGAGAGATCTCACCAAAATACCATTAACTCATTCGTCCATATAGAAAATATGTTGTCACTTCGTTCTTTGTATCCCCTCCAATGTATCATAATAATGATAAATGATGATAATGCATGTGTAAAACACTGTTTTCAATAACATTCCATTTTGCAAAATATTCCAAATACTTTGGCAAGCAAATAAACCTGGTACTGATGAGAAAAATAAGCAAACAATGTGGAAAGAAAATTCAATTTTCTTTTAATTGCTTATTTTGACCATTCTCATTTCGTTGAATGTTTGTGTCATATACTAACAATCCTACCACTCTAAAAATGAATCTTAATTTTATTTAACTTTATTTTATACAAAAAAAAAATCAAACGTACTTAAAAAAACACACACAATTTTTATATTTTTCATTTTTTGTTTGGCAATTTATAGTATTATTTACCGAATAATTTAAAAATTGAAATCTCAGTCTCGCATAAACTGTGTTTAATTCAAAATTATACATTATGATTATTTTCAATCAATGCGAAAATCATTTGAAAAATAAAAATTATTACAACATTTATCCCATTTAAACAATTCAATGTTTCTTTTATTTATCTTTTAATTCATACCATGTTTGTTCCAGGGAATATCTTTAATTTCGATCAGTAGGTACTTTTTCAGCTGAAAATTCTACTTTAAATTTGTTATGGAGACAGGGAAAGGGGTAAGTATAAAGTTTTGAAGAAAAAACATCCCCCCTAGGGATTTTCGTCCGAAACGAAATTTTTTTCGATTTCCTAGGGTTTTTCAAAGAAAATTTTGAAATCACTCCCCCTTGAAAATTTTACTCGCACATGGTGTGAAACGTATGCAAATTCATTTTTTGTCACATTACCTCAAAAATTGATTTGTGTGAGGCCGGTATTATGATTTTTCCCAAATACTAAAATTTCATATTAACTGTAAGACATTTTCGACGTTATTAGCTGTAGCTTTTTTTAGAATCTTTGAATGGCTTAAACGAATCTACGACTTAAATATGAATTCTCAAAATATATTTACCCGTTTTCTTAAATTCATCGCATTCCATTGTGGACCCTTGTAACTCTTCGTTTGTGGATCTTCTTAAAAAAATACTGAACTAAGAATTTCAGTTCAATTTTTAAGCTAAATGGTGGAAAATCATTAAAAATCATCATGGTTTTCGATAGAAATTTTCAATATTTTGAAATTATTTTGATTTATAGTAGTATATTGAAGCAAAAATCTTTTGGAAAATAAAAAATACTCCAACTCCAAGAGCCGCATTGTTCACATTAGAGTTCGCAGAAATTGTTATGATCACACAATCGAAATGTACAAATATAGTATTACTTTCTGCTTTTTTGGCCAAAAATTGGATTATTCCTTCTCAGATGCCTCCTATCTTCTATTCGGGGTTCAAACTTTGGAATACGAACATAAGTATTTTCATCGTAGTTTTTGGGAAGAATTACATTTATGATGCACCAAACTGTATCGCCTTAAAAATATAAAAACAATCATATTCTGAGTATGCACTCTGAGTCAGAAGACCTATGTTGAACTTGAACTCTTTCTTTAATTCAAACAAATTCCCATTCATATCTCCAATGTTCAAATTCCTTGTAATAATATATGTACCTATGCTATAATTCGCTGGTCTCCCTCTTGCAGGTGTTGTTGAACGGAAACCAAGTATGACATCGTTTACACGAATTAAGTTCTCCGCTTTAGAATGAATATAAATCTGTTCAATATTTGCTTCTCTCGATATGCATTGGATCATCACCTTAATCCATACACTTGCTTGAATTGTTTCAACAAAAAGCTTTGGATCCGGATCGTATTTAATGACACTTTCGACGGCAATTACTTTTGGAGAAATTACACAAAATTATTTAATAATTGATATGAAAACTTATACTCACATTGACTCACCGATGGCCGTGTGGAACGTTATCACAAAAATGATTGAAAACCAATTCATTGTAGGTAATCGAGGCTGAGACGTTCAATTCAAATCAAATTAGCAATCGTGTGCCAAAAATAATTTAACCTGAGTCTTATATAAAGAAAACTGGCTTCTCGTAAATGCGCACTTTTTCCTCCATAAAAATCGATTCATTGTAATGGAAAATAATTCTTAAATACCATTTCAAATTATTTGAAAGTAATTATCGGTTGAAATAACAACATATTGAAAATGAACTAGATTCCACTCTACATATTCCGAATAATTTTATTTTATTTACTAATTTGTATTTTTCTAAATATGTTTACAACATTTCTCGTCGTGTTTTATAATTTTTGCTTACTATTTTTACTTTGATACTGATAAAGCAACGATTTCATTTCAAAGAGTTGAACGACAAAATCTATCCCTTGTGGAAATATTTAGACTTCATAGCCGACTATAAATTGACTAATTTGGGACAAAAATGGCTGATATTTCAGCCAGCTAAAGTTAACTATAAGTGACTATATGCGTCTTCATGTAACTTGAGTTGAGAAATGTCGATTGTGATCATAGTTAACTACGGTTAACTATAAGTATATGAAATTGACTTTTGTTAACTATGTTGACTATAATCACTTTTAGTTAACTCTGAAACATAACCGACTATATTCGATTTCAATCATCTATTGGTAATTTTAACCAAATAAAGATTAAAATTTACTTAATTTATAGTCAGTCAGTCATTTTTTTTTCTCAAGGGATATCAGTAATCCGTAATTTTACACAAGATGAAAATAAAAATTCAACATATCTAGGGAAAAAAGGAATCTTTTTTGACCTTCATTTATGAATTCACCCCTCCCTGAGAATCTAAGTTCCCATAGTACTGATCTATTTAACAATGACAATCTTGAATATAAAGTGTATAAATATCGGTGCAGATACACATGGAAATATCACCAGGCGCTGAGATGTTGTGGCATGATATTTATAATTTCAAGCCGATTGTTTTCATTCGAACGAAAATATAGGTAGATTAAGGCGCTCTTCTGTGTATGAGCGATAAATAGATCTCATCTCCTTTATTTCTTTAATTTGATTTTTATTAAATAAAATAAAAGGATATAGCTAGATTACAATCTCTTACAAATCGATTATCGAATGACAGATAATACACTTGGCCGGTGCACTGGATCTGGTTCGCATTTTGAAACTTTCTGATGGATTTTTGAATAAAAAATGCCAACACACCCATTCCTGTGAATAAATTAATGAAATACATTTTATTTCTTAGTTAGTTAGTTCTTTCATCCATTATGATATAAGTTACCTAAAGGTATTGATCCTGAAAGATAAAATGTTAGTTCGCAATAATCATCCAATAATAGTGCTAATACGTATGAACCAGCCACAGCGCCCATCCGTCCAAACATTAATGAAATGCATAAGGCCATTGCTCTTTGAATACAAGTTAAAATCATTTGTTGAAATGAAAATTATATTAATTGATATGGATTTGTTTTCCCTTGCTGAATACTACCTCAATGTCGTTGGATATAAATTAACTGAAACAGAGCTTACAACATTCACTGATATAGAGCAAGACAAGAACCATATATACAAAATAACTTGCAGTAAAGGTATATCGGTTAGCATGCATCCAATTCCACTTAATCCGGTTGTAAACAAAACGAAGACTAATCCAAAATGGAACATCAAAATCAACGTCAAAATATCTGAATGATCACATGACTCAAAATGACTTACAAATGATTCCTTTTCCCACTTTATTGATGAGTTGTCCGGATACAGCGCTACCAATTGTGATTGCGAGATCTAATAAACAACCATTCATTAATGTTGATACCTCAAGTTTATCAACGCATACCTATTAAATTGTCCGAGATGCTTCACTTTTTTCAAAATGTCATATGTTGCCGATTTGTTTTTTGAGCAAGCACAAATTTCGGACTTTCCGGCAAAAAAAATAAAATCAAAGCAGCGAAAAATTCAAATATACCACATACAATCATATACAGACGCAAAGGCTTATAAGTAATACCGAGGAGTGGTACATGAAATTGCCAATCTTGATTAATCATAATCCATACGATAAACGGCAACAAAATACACAGACCATTGCCAATGCAAGCAGCACCTTTCGAATAATTGCAGAAAATGAAATGAAAGGATCCATAAGAAAATCCAAGCACATTGAAAGGTATTCGCAAAGAGTCCGGAACCCTAGATTAAAAAAAGAAAATTTCTGTAGCATCATCCAGATCCATCTTTGGGTGTAAGGTAAAAAAAAAAACAATTTTCGTTTTATTTGAGTTTTGATTTCGTTTCTCTATAATTTTATTTGTTAATTTTATGATACATTTGATTTGTTCGTTTCGTTGAATTAACTCACGTAAAATGTTTCACAAAAATAATAATTGATGTATATATTTTTTAAGGAAAAAAAGAAAAAAAAAGAAATAAACTTGTTAACGTAATACTTTTTGCGTTTTGTGTGTGTATTTTGTTATTTGCACCTAAAAATATTGCTTTAAACATATTCTACTCGGATAACGTATTTATTACCTAATTGTACATGTCTCTATATTTGAAATTGCGCGTGCGCTCTCCTCTACCTCATTCTTCCTTTCTAATTCAGCGCCTTGCGGATCTTGTGTGTCGATGGCGCAAAATTTAAACGCTTTTATTCTAATTATTCGGTGTTTCTTTTTATTTACTTAAGTAATTGCTCTTGCTGACTGATTGCTGTTGATGAAGGCGGTGGAAATTTATGGGTAAGCATTTTGCAAAATTTTCGATGACAATTTTTCATTACCCAAACATATATTGTTTGTGAATTTTTGTTTTCTTGGCAAAAACAAAATTTTAACTCTCTTTCATAATTTGCAAACAAAAACAATCATCTATAAATCGCCACACAGCCACTGAAGAAAATGATATTTCTATTAAACTCACAGCAATGAAATGGTTTCAGTAATGGTGTTTGATTTTCAAAAAATTCTGTCTTATTTGTCTTAATCGAAAATATGCTTAAAATCTATTTAACTTGAGATGATAAAAGGTTTTTTTGTTCAAAAAAAAAATATTATTCGAACTGGCGAACGATTTGCCATTTTACTTGTTACAGCTTTGATTTCTGACTTTTTGTTCTGTCGATTTCTGTTCGATAAGCTCAAACGAAAATCCCGTCCAAAAAAATCCATCAAAGCGATGTATTGTTTAGATTTTTATTGAATAAATAGATTGTGGAAGATTTTTTTTTAATTGGAATGTTTTACACCCACGGCCACATTTTTGCAACACAAAAAGAAGGATTTAATACGGTACGGTGTGCAGAAGTAATTATATACATGAAAAAAGCACTAGACCCGATGCAAAAAGTACTGAGGCTTGATAGCGTTGCTATGCCATTTGTGTTAAATCCTTCTTCGCGTATTTATTTATTTTTTGTTCTAAAATTTTCAAAAATGCGATCGCGCTTAGTGTTTAAGTTATTAAAACCGTTTCTTAGCATTAATTTGATTCTTAACTTTCTCAATTGTTTGTCTTTTTCCTTTAAAAAGGTTTGATTTTAAATACAACCATAAACAAATTGAGAAATCAATATATATTTTATGTCAAATTTGAAAAAAATAATTAAAAAACCTTCAAATTCTTTAAAATACTTAAATGTTCATAATTTTTTGAGCTCGCATTCACGACCTGATTGCTTGTTTTTTTTCGCTCATTTTCTAAATTTCTTTAAATAAAATAAAACGATCTTTGCTTTAAAAAAATAATAGTATTGCAAATGATAAAACGGCGCCTTTCCATTATTTTTGCTGTAACTCTGTTGGCCATGGATGCACTTCTGAAAGTGGAATATTTGAAATGTTTTGTTTTTTTTTGTCCCCAAAAGTTTACGAAAATCACCAAAACGAAAACAGGAAGTGAACAGAATGAAAAATAAATATTCCGCCTTCAAGAATCGAATTGTTCCAATTTTACAAAGAAAATTCCCATAATTTGTAGATGGCTTTATATTGCTTGAATTACTACTATTTTATCGATATTTTACAAATGGTTCGTTGGTAATAATTTAAAATTTAAAATTTTATAAGGATGATCCGAGCAGCTGGTAAATTATGATTTAACGAGCATTTTGCACCAAAACGTAATTTGTTTTTTTTTTCCTTGTGTACATATCTCATTACATTGAAAGAATGAAAATGTGTAAATCGTTACAAACGGATCTTATTGAGATTAAATGAATTTTTGCTTTCGCCTGGCTGAAGTACATTCGTTATTTCATCGACAAAGTACATAGAAAAACATTGGTATCAAAAGACACTGTGCTTGTTTTTGCCTTCGTTTCTGTTTTTCAACATCATCATTATCTTCTCTTGAATTCAAATAAAAGGAAACTACGAAATAAACTTGTTATGTGCATTAAATAATTAAAATAAAGAATAGGAAATAATCCAATTCAAGTAGGAATGGACTTTAAATAAGCTTATAATCCCTGCTTTCAGCTCTGGTGCGGTATTTTTGAGCTCATATGAAACATTTTGACCGCCTTCTACATTAGCTACCATTCGATATTTGAGCAATAGTTTACATTTGAATACGTCTGTGCATTTTCCAAATTTATTTTATAAAAAAATGTGTTTTTTTTTCTTTCAAATTTTCATAATTTTAATTTTCAAAAATAGTTTTCGCAACGTTTCTCAATTGTTTTCGTTTAAAGAATGTTCATTATGATGACCACAGAATCTAAGTCAAGGAGCGTGGCTTATTTGTCAGTATCTCGTAACTCATTTTATCGTAAGTATTCAAATAATTGATCATTAAAAAATGTTGTTGTTTGTGGTGGCGGTGGCGGTGGTGGTGGTGTTGATAGTGTATTTGTTGTGGATGACCACGAATTGGTTGAACGATCGTTGATGGTGTTGGACAATGATCGTCCGGTTATTTGTCACGTCATTGCCATATCAATGTCGCTCACTAACGAATCGGTATCGGGTGATGATAAAATTGAGTCTACATGAGAACGATGCGGTGACGTTGCTAGCAAATTATGTGCCGAACCAAGAATTGAATCCGCTATACAACTGCTGATATCCATCGGTGTATTGCTGTGATGATGATGATGGTGGTGATGATGAAGGTGATTTTGTATGCCGTTCGTTGAATGGTGCGTTTGATTTTGTGGATTTGACGACGATAACAATGGATCACAATGTGGAATTTCGATATTTGAATCACTCTTTAGGCCACAATTTCCATTCATACCGTTGTGACTCATACTAAATATGAAAAGAAAAAACCGACAACAATCAATTATTTATTTATTTTTTTTATTTTGAAAAAAAGAGAAAACATTGAAATGATTTGCGCTACCTTGCGTTTGTATGGTTGTTGAGGTTTAAGTCATTGCTGTGTAACGATGAGGTTGGCGATGACGGTGAACGAGGTGAACTTAACAAATGATGCGATAACATTGGGTCGCCGTGCACTGGATGATGATCATCTTCAATCAAATCCTCCATTTGACTTAAACTCAATGTGGCCGCCTCAGACACCACATCCGGCATCTAATCGAATATTTTATTGAATTAGTTTTCATTGCACGAAAAAATAAAATGTCATTTGAATAATTTTCATGTACCTTCCCAACAATGTCTAAAAGAGGTGGTGGATTGTGACGCGTTGGACTCGATTTGTTTAAAAATGAGTTCACAAGCTGTGAACTGTACGTACTATTGTTATTGTTATTATTGCAACTATAGTCTGATATCGCTAGACCGTGTGATTTGACTTGCATTTCTAATTCCTATGTCATTCAAAATGTGTGATAAATCAATAAAAGTCGATTAGTTTTTTGGTTCCCATTAACGAAAACTAATATGACATGGATTTTTACCTGTATTCGTAATAACAATCGTCGATTTTGGTGTTCGATTTGTTTTTGGCGTAGTTCATTTTGTTTTAAACGGGTAACTTCATGTTTCAAGCATTTTATATAGTCTACCGATGATTTAAGGATGGTACCTTTGTTTGGTCGTACATCTCGCACCACTTCATAGTATGGATCGTTGTTTTTCGGCAGTAGCGTGCCCAACTCTTTAATCCGATCGTTGATATTAAATCGTCTTCGGCGCTCGACTGATTGACACACACACAAGAAGAAAAAAAAACAATATTTAATTAAAATTTTGGCGTTCCTGATAAAATAATTTAATTAAATGATCGAAAAATGTTCGCTTGAAAATAAAATTATTTATAAATTCACAGCAGTGATGAAAACCAGTTAAGAATAAATGTGTCATCAAATGCTGTAAACAAAATAAAACGTACTCATGTTATGGTTGTCCTTTTTCTGTCGATCTTTTGCAAGTGCATGCATTTCTGCATCGGTGATGTTCGATGGCTCTTGTTTAATAACCAGATCTGAATTGCTGCCGTTGGTACCGCCGTTTGCACCACTTCCGCCATATGTACCATCCAATTTTAAGGAGTCCGCCAACGAACTTGACTCAAACGACAGAATATCGTCCAAAAGATCTTCGGCCTACAAAACGTAAGAGAAATAAAGAAAAATATCCATGAAACTATCGCATAAAACAATTGAAAATGATTTATGTTGATGATGGCAATGATGAAATCGGTTCAAAGACATTTTAATACGGTTTTCAACCATTTTATAGTGACGCATAAAGATGTATTTCAATGTTTGTTTTTTATTATTACTATTATCGTCATACAAATACGAGCTTTACACTGTCGCACATTGGATATATTTGCGCAATGCGCATATCTATTAAAATGTGTGACAGTTTCTGCAGTTGTTTCGGATTAAAAGATGCACAATTCGGATAATTTGATTATTGTCAATTTGTTATCGACTCAGTCGTTGTACAATACATAAAAATCAGCCATGTCAAACAATATGTATGTGTGTGTTGTTGTTTGTTGAACATTGAAATATGAAACAGTGTTTCATTGTCCATATATACTTGATGCTTTTTTTTTTCAAAGCGAACTTGACGGTTTTGAAATTGTCCGCTTTAAATTGTGATAGAAAAAAAAGACAGTTGAACGCGGCGTCGCATCTAAGCCACTTCAAAAAGTTGATTTTATGGCCATGTTTGCTGATAATGCCGTAGAAAATGATTGTAAAGATCTTAATTGTTGGATTTTTTTGCACTTGCTCGTTGCTGTTGTTCATTTACTTAGTCATCTCTGGCATAGCGCACAGACCGAAGCGCAATGCCAATTTGAAAATGTAGTGTATATATATGTAGATGACATTTTTTTTCTTCTCTTCTTATTTTCGTTGCTACTCCAAAACCACTCGATACTAGTAAACACTAGCGGCGACTGGTTGTATATAAAAATTATGCGATGCAAAATACTATATATATTGATGTTATAAATGCTACTGACTTTTGGGTGAGCATACACATTATTTTTCTTTTTCCTCAGTTTCGCGTATCAAAGGATCTAATTAATGAGATAGAAGCGCGCACGACAGAGAAAAAGAAGAATAAGAAGAAGAAGAAGCAGAGGGAGAGAGAAAAAAATGAATGTAGTTTTATTGCCATATACGCAGTATGCGTTATTTGTGTCGCTTTTGAAATTATCCGAATACACATTTTTCATCTGTCGATTGAGTTCAATTTGTGTTCACATGTCGCATAATGCGTGAAGCATGAAAATTATATCGTTATTCAAATGGTTGAGCATTAAATAGACGATGAATCGCATTTCAGTAGTGTTTTTTTTTTGTCAATTGCTCGAAAACGAAAGGTCGAAAATTTCAATTAATTTCGGATCGAATTCGATATGGATTTTCATAAAACCATGCAAAAAATATGCAAAGTGTTTACAGCGCACAAAAAAAACGCAGTTATATTGCGAAATCCAAATGAGAGCTTAGTTTCGATTCTTTATTTACTAAAAATGAGATAATTTATGCTTGTGAAACAAAACATACAAAAAGCTAACTATGCGCGTAGCCAAAACAAAAAATTCACATGCGATCCGACCGATTCTGGTTTTTCAGAATATTTTCGCGTTCATCGCATTGCTCTCGAACAAAACTTTCTCGATCTCCCTCTCTTTCTCTCTCTCTTTCTAAATATATTATTTATTTATTTTTTTTTTGCACTCTTTTCTTCTTCCTATTTTATAAATTTATAATTATAACTATCGCATAATGTCATTCACATCGTTGTGTCGCAGAAATTTTGTTTGTAAATATTTGCAGTGTTTGTTTCATCGGTAAAACGAATGCAAACCAACTTAAATGTACAAACCGTTCGGTTTGGCATTCAAGTTTTCAAAAAGTGTTAGTTTTGCTCGTTCGCCGCCACATTGATACTTGTTCCAAGTACGTGTCGAAACAAATCCATTTGATTGAAAATATGCCATGATTATGATTGAGAAGTGATAAATGATTGGCCATAAAAACGGGGAGAAAAAAAGAACGGAATTCTTTTTATTCTTAATTATTTTAGAGACGATGGAAATAATGCGGCATGTGTGACACTCAATCAGAAAAATAATCAACGTTAATAGATTTAAATCGAGAAAGAGAAAGAGAGATAGAGAAATGGTTGAATGCCTTAGATCTAGGCATATTTCCATTCGTAATTAGCGAAGAATTAAACAAAACTCTTTTTCATGCCCAAGTTGTACACACTGTGTACACACTGAGCCTGGGTGAAAGAAAAAATTCGAATGCAGAATAATAGAAGAGAGATGCGAACAGTAGAAGAAAGAGAGAGAAAAAAAAAGAAAATCATTATTCGCTTGCGCGTTCAAAATACGATTTAGAAAGACCGATGTAGAATATAATATGATCAACAAAACAGCATTGGTGCGCACATACTTAATGAATCCATGGTCGTTTCATTTACTTTTACGTCAAATTCAGAATAGCGACAGACACATCGAGAAACTCGTTCGCACATAAACAACAGTCAATGTGCGCCAAACAAATATCACTCTCTCAAAAGCCACATATAAATAAATAAACCTGCAAAGACAATGAGCCGCACTGTATCGCGATGTGTACGATCAGTGATTTTTTTTTCAGCTCGCCAACGGCCGATTTCGGCACATTGTATACAACCACCATTCACTGGCTTTGTTTTTATTTCGAACCAATATGCATATTTAACAAGCATCGAATCAAGTGCGCAATCACAATCGAATGTAATCGATGACTAAACGAAACGAATATCAGTTTTTTTTTTGATATTGTGAAAGTCAATAGATCGGTTTTGAAAGTATTAACATTTTTTTTCTTTCGTTTGACCATTATTGAACAATCTATTCGGCTTCAAAATTTCGGTCGCTTTGAAATCGATCTTGAGCATGCATTCGAGGTGCGTATATCAGATGTCACACGTATTCTTCCTTCTTCTTTTTTATGCTCAACGATGTTGTGAACAAACTCACGCTCACTATTCACAACAATTCGAGTAGTTCGATAATTGGGATGATAAACGTTAGATAAAGAAAAAAAACTGTGTTTACGTCTGATGCTACATATGAAATCTGTGTGCTAATATTTACATTTTTTTGTTTGACATCAAAGGGGCGCCCTTTAAACCAAATCAAAATACGGCGTTAAACGGCCGATTCAATTTTATTGTTAAAATGTGCGAAATAGTTTTGGTTTAAATGTTGTTTACTTTTCAAACATTTTTGACACTTGCGCTGATGTTACTACTACTATTTTCCATTACGTTGCTTTGCAAAAAATTGTTTTCTTTTGGCACGATTGTTCGACAATGAACAGATGGACAGAACGTGCAACTGAATCATTATATTTGTGCACCGATCGTAATGTGAGTGTGTGTGGACTATATAAAAATATACTACGCGATTTCAGCCAAAAATTGCAAAACTGCGGAATTATTATTTTTGAAAAAGAAATAACAACAAAATATTTTCTATTTTAAATATTCAAGTTCACACATGATAGTTTTATTGAGCCAAATACGTAGCAAACGATTGTGTAGATTGTTTTTTTTTTTTTTTTTTTGAAAACATTTGTAGTCGAAATCAAAAGAATCTGTGCGAACATCGACATAGAAATAAAAAAATTATGTGAGAGTTTGTTGATTCTTTGAAGTTGGTCCTGCAGTCGATTTTCTAAAGCACCGGAAACGTTGACTTTTTATGATTATTCATTTATTTGATCGTTTTTGTTTGTGTGACAAGCATAGGATTTTTGACCTGCCGCCGATGTTGATCACGTTATGTAGTTCTTTCATTTCAAGAGAATGTCTTAATGGACTGTGTCAATTGTGCCGTAGCCCACATGCGAATCATTTAATATTGACATAAATTGATTGTTGCTTCAATCTCAAGATCAATTTCTATTCTTTCATATATATATTTTTTCCGATCATTTCACAAATATTGCCATCAATCGAAACAACAATGAACGATATTTACAAAAGCGTATATCCATCATACAACATACGTCATGTGAAAACAAAATGAAATTTTTTTTTATTCTCGACTTGAAAAACTTTCCAACATTGATTTTCGGTGTAATGCAAATAAAGTGACGGAAATCAATGAAATGTGGCACAAGGAAGAAACTTTGTGGCATTCAAAAGAACATATTAACAGAAATTGAGTTGAGTTGTATGATCAAGAAATTAACGATTGGCGATTTTCGTGCCAGTAAGTGGATCAATTGGAAAATATTTTTATAAGTGACCAAAAATAAAGTACACATAACTTTGCTTACGTTTAGTTGTGATAATTAAGTTTTGCGTACTCTCTTATTGTGACCGAGGTTTCTCAACCCGTCATAAACCAACGAACACAAAATAAACATTCCGACGACATAAATACTTTCCCAATATTGATACGTGATTTTACATTAAATTGATACACAAATAATATTGAGTAAATTTCCATATCAAAAATTATGACAACAACAATTGGTTGGATGGTGGCCACAAATGAAGAGTCATAAAATTTTAACTGAATAAAGAGTTCAAACAATGCGTATGGGCCAATCTTTTCTGCTGACCGAATAAATTACATTGCGGTTGTGTTGAGTGAATCAAGTGTATGGACCGTAAGTAGTTACAAACAATTAGATAATTCGAGTGAAAAAAAAAACAGCACATTTATGAAAAAACAGATACAGTGAGACCGAGTTGTATTCCATTGTGTGGAATTCCATTGATAAATTAACAGGCAGCCATTCGACATGAAACTTGAAAAGAGTTGAAACTAATGCGAACGCTGCAGCATTCATTCTCTCGTCGTCATAAACACATATACATATATTAGTTATATTTTCAGAGATAAAGGAAGTTGAATTCCATAATGATTTTTTTTTTGAATGAATGAATGAATAAATGAATGAAATCTACAAACGTACGCTGTTCTCTTTTATAGTACACCTATTTATTTAATGTTCGGAGCGCAACGCAAAAAATATGGCGTTAGAAAAAAGTGAAAAAAAGCAGCGGCAGCAGTAGTAGAATCATCGATTCCAAGGAAACGAATATTTGAATAGGCACTACATGAACGGTA